TTTTTTTTTTCATAACTTACAAAATCATTCATTATCTGATCATCAAAATGCGACAACTCGATATTTAACTTTCGACAGTTTGTTACAGCCAACAGGTTCCGAAAACATTTGGCATCTAGTCGAAACCTGCATAACGTGAACAGCAACGAGTTGGCTTCACTATAACAGCAGATGATATTTCAGTGGTTTTCCGGTTTACAGCGATAAAAACAGCAACAGTAACAAAATAAATCAGAACAAAAAAAAAAAAAAAATAATGACTTTTGGATGTCAAAGTTTCAGTGTTTAAAGGTTTGTCAATGGGTCACTGAAAAATGCAACACTGAAGTAACATAATACATTTCCAACTAATAAACCTTTCTTTTCGCTTTTTTTCCTGTTGTCAGAAAACTCATTTTTTTAATTTGTTTTTCAAAAATTTTAGCTGGGAAAAAAGTTTTAAAGAGTAGTTAGTTGTAAAAGACTGTTTTTTTTGCTGCAACTCCTCAAATTGTCTATACATTTCTCCCAAACTGATTCTCGGTCTACTGGGAACAGATACTCCTACTCCTGTCCTCTCATTCTCCTTCCCACTACCACTCAGTTATTCATCTTGTTCATTAGTACCAAAAAAAAGGAACTATGCAACAGTTAGTTGTTGTTTTCAGAATACGTAAAATTTAACAAGGCACAGATTATTTCCAGATTAGAGTTTACTGAAAACTGTAAAGAAAATTCCTCGTCACTTTGCTTTGCTCCTACTAATGTTGCCTCATCCATCCATTCCCTTATCCTCATTTTCGCTATTGTTCAGCTGTCCACCTTATTTATTGGTAACAAAACAAAAGATTTTGATTGATAATTTTGATTTGATAAGTATATATTTTTTAGTCCGTGTAATATGAGACTCATTAATGTAACCAATAGGCAAAATGTCTAATATTACATTTTGTAAAATTAAAAAAAAAATATTTTTTTTACCACTCCAAAATTCTGACATTTTGGCTATTTATAATGATTGATAGGTGTAAATCACCGCTTTGGAAGCATTGGTGATGGAGAGGAAGGGATAACAAAAACAAAAAGAAAGATAGAAACAAAAGCAGCGAAATGAAAATAAAAAATCAAAAATTTTTTAGACAAAGGCAAAACAAAGTTTTTTTTGTTGAAATTGAATAGAAATTTTGTGTATCAAACATTGACAACAAATCCAAAGTTGTGGTTGAATTGGTGGCAGTCAAAAAAACTGACTCTTTGCCTTTTCACCTAAACTGCCTGAGAATCTGTTCGCTTCAATTCAACGAACGGCAAACAGCGAAGCGGGAAAAAAAAGAAAGATAGAATTGGTTTGCTTCACGAAAGTGTATTTTGAACTTTTTTGGACATTTATAGGCCTTTTATCTTCTACTTCGGCGAGCACAGAGAAAGGTTGGGGAGGATAAGAGGGTGAGGGGTAGGTTCTTTACCACCTTTATTTCGACACTTTCCCAAGCCGTCAGAGTAGATGCCTCCGTGAATTAAGGAAATGATGATGCTCAAAAAAGTTATTCTACTTTTTTTTCGTATCTACAACAGCAACGGTATCGGTGGTAGCAAAAGTCCCGTCCGGCCAACTAATTGTGCAGTAACTATTTGTTTTAAAGAACATATTTGAATGACTTGTTGTTGACAAAGTGTCGGCAACAATGCAATTCTTCCCGTCCAAGATTTAAATAAATAAATTTTTTTCAAAATAAATGAAGAAGAAAAATATTGAAAAAAATGATAAGCAGGAGAAAAAATCAGATTTTCACACTTTTGCAAACTGAAAAAGATCTAGGGAATTGAGACAAGTAAGTGTAGAGAAGAGAGGAGAGGAAGAAGGAGAGGTGAGGAAGGTGAAAAAATTTTTCTAATATTCCACGAAAGATGCAGAAAAATGCGGTGCAGGAAATTGGGTTACGTTTTAGAAACTTTTTAGCATCTCATATTACATAATTTAGGCAAGTTTTGTTTTTTTTTTTTTCAAATTCAATTCATCATGAAGGAAAAAATGTTCATCAAAGTAAAAATATGTCAATCTGAACCGAAATTTAATACTTTTCTCAGTTGTGGTGGTTATCATCATCTCGTCAAAATCATCATCGATGCGTCTTGCCACGCAGTATATTATTAGTCAGTTTATTAAAACGGCAGCTTCAAAATGAAAAACTTTCTAATCAAATTTTTTTGTTTCCGAAGGAAAAAAAATAAGGCATAAGCGACTAAATACACGAAAGTACGCTGCTAAGAAGATGAAAAAGTGGAATGTTACAGAAAGTATTATTTCTCCTTTTTCGTCTTAACTTTTAATTTTGGTTAAAAGGTAGCGTATAATCTTATAGTAGTACAGTGACTTATCAACAACAAGCAATTACTGTTGTTGGTTACAGCACCAGCAATGGCTTCAGTAAAAGCAGCAGTTGCAGTAAAAACAACAACAGCAGAACAGTAGTTTTTGACCGAAACAAATGTTAGATATACTGTTGGATAATCCGTTGATAAGGACAAATAAAACAAAGAAACAACAAGAAAATTGAGACCAGAAAGACGGAGAAAATGAGAGTAAAAATAAGAGTCAAGCACGCTAATGGATCTACCTGATTCGCACCCATTTTTGCATCAAACGTTCATACAGCTTCTTGTTAATAGCTATACCGGTGAATGAAAGACGTCCAGCAATGATCAACTTTTTCATGTGATTATCAAGGCACTCCAGAAAAAGTGGTGACAATTCATATTGATCTGTAATAAGAAAAATAGAGAATAAAACAGTTGTCTAAGCTAAAAATTTTTTATCTGTATAAGTTTCAATTTTTGCTATTCTTTGTTTCCTTTCAATTCACCAGCTTAAAAATGACCTCCTTCAATGGTCTCCCGAAGAACAAATTCTTTTTGACAGTCGGTAGATTGCCGTTTTCGTAAATACATTATATTTAATCTTCTTTGCATCTTTTTGCTGCAAACTGTTGTTGGCATCTGTAGGCGTCCAATAGGCCGATTTCGTTGCTCAACCAATCCCATTTTAATGCTGAAAAATGGCAAAAACTAAGCAGTAGTATTTGTATTTTATTGTTTTGAAAACAAGAGAGAAAAAAAAATCTAGAAAAAAAAGTAAGTTGTAATTAACGTTGTCGATTTAGTTACCTAAGTTCAAAAATTTTTGGGCGACTTAAATAGTGTGCATTTCTTTGCAGCACATTTCGAACTCTTTTGCATATTCGATGAGATCGTAAAACATCCTTGTAATGTAGATTCTTGTAGATTTGCTTGATAGCATTTTCTGGAAGCATTTCAAAGCGCAAAGGTGCTTTCGTACAGCCACTATCCGATGGCATAAGATACTGTTCGTCACCATCGATTACCACCGCATCTGTTGAGGTTGAAGGGTTGCAGCATGTTGGATTGTCCATCAGCGCTGAAGAAAACGTTGAAAGAAATGGCTCTTTTTTTGTTCACTTCAAATAAAAATAACCTTTCACTACCGCAGTGGTCATTAACGCAAACTAATAAAAAAAAGCTATAAATTGATAATAGTAATAACAGTAATAAAAATAACAAT